TTTGCGAATCTGGTTGCGAGAAGTCGATGAAGCAACCATTGAGTCGAGTGATGGTGCTTGAATAGGAGCCGTAGAATCGTCACAAACAGACTTGGCCAGACAAACGTGGTTCGTCGGCGTGGGTCTTGAGTGCATAGGAGAAGAGTTTGACTGGAGCTTGGCCAGACGAACAGAGTCCGTCGGCGTGGGTACGTCGTCGTGAATATGAGTGTGCGTAGAGAGATGCGGCATTCGAGTCGAGTCCAAGATTGAATGAAGGATGGAGAAAAGACGTTCGTCCTTCCTCCGTCGTAACAATTGGGATCGAACAAGAAAAGGAATATGCATTGTTCTCAGGCGCATAGGGAGCGTACTGAGTGTGGCAAGCCGAGACGAAACCTGTTCCCGTAAGGTTCATCTCAGCACCAAAGCCTCAGGCTTGATTTGGGGGCTTGGATGGGCACTTGGCAACGGTGTGTCCAGGCTGGCCGCAGAAGTGGCAGAGCTTGACATGTTCGCCTGGGTAATGTCCCGTCTGGCCGCAAGAGTTGCAGCGCATAGTCCGTCGAGAGCATTCGTTGGCGCCATGTCCACGACGATCACAACGACCACAGACTTTTTGGCCGCTGACCGTCATTTCGTCGGGCTTGGACGAGATCACCACTGGGGTATGGCCAACACGAGTACGTCAGGCACCAGGCATTTGATTCTGTGTCGGTGTCAGGTTCGGTGGAATGACCGCTTGCCCGGAAGGAGCAATGGTATTGGGAGCATATGGTTGTTGATACGGCTGTCCAAAGGACAAAGTAGCGGGCTGGACTGGAGCTGCTTGTTGATAGGTGAAGTCGTATGGTTGCAACGGCTGGATCGGGGCCGCATAATTGGGCTGAGTTTGACCACTCAAGGCGTCGACAAACCCTTGCTGGACTTGGTTCGAACGCTCGATCAAAGCGACGAACGCCTTTTTTTGCTGGGCATGGCTCGTCGTCATGAGTTCGAGAAGTTGCCGCATCGCCGCTTGGTGTTCAAACTCGACATGAGGTCCGCGGCCTAACAGACGAGGCGACGCCGGAGGAGTTGAACGTTCACTGGTAGTTGTACGAGACGACGCCGACGTAGAGGCCGATGAGTTGGATCGAGGCTTGGCGTACGTCTGAGGCTTCACAGTTATTTCGTCTAAACGAACTTCACGCGCGCGAAGGAGTTTCATGCAGTCGACGATCGAGTTGCGTTCGCGGTCGGTGTGTTCGAGACATGACTCTGCCCGGGCGTGTCGGACTCCGCGTTTGAACATGGCAACCCCTTTAATAGCTGGGAAGTCCGCTTCGTCCAAGATCGTCTGGAGTCGATTTGCGTACGCCTAACCGGTTCGTCCATGTAACGCTCAGACGCTTCGATCAGGTTATTCACGTGGTCGCGAGGAGTACTGCTGCAGAACTGGTCCACAAAGCTGTCATGGATCTCAGACCAGACCCCACCGCATTTCGAGTTGGAGTAGGCGAATCACCAGGCGTTCAGGGTAATAGGAGTCTTGTCGGCAGAGAGCTTCAGACCGAGAAGTGACTTGCGTTCGTCGTCGGTCAGACCACCGCGGTCAGCTTGTTCCACGAGTTGCTTCATGAAGTACTCACAGTGATTATGGGCGTCCGACGACGGGATGGAAGTGTACTTCACAGCGCGACCGAATGCTTGGTTGCTCGAGGACATGTCGATAGCAACCTTGACATCAGCCATTTCACTGGACATTTTGGTCAAGAGGGCGGTGAGTTCGGAAGGTACCTGAAAAGGGTAGCCCGAGGATGGTTCGGGTGCCGGGATCGAAGCTTGGGCTAAACGGAACGAGAAGTCTAGACTTAGCTGATCAATGCGTGCTTCGAGAAGTAGCACGCGGTCTTGCAGAAGGGTCTTATGGTGGACGAGATCGTGTAAGCGTTGGTTTTCCTGGCGAAGCGCTTTCAGGCAGGGACGAGTGTCGTCTGAACGAGCAGATGGTGCAGGAAGTTGTTGGTGGAGGAGACGACCGAGTACTTGGACGTCACACTAGAGGCGTTCAACTTCGCGGGAGACACGATCTTCGTACGAGTGAAGAGCGGTCTGCAGTAGAGCGGTGGCCGAGGCTTGACTTTGCACCGAAGAATGCAATTCAGAAATGGCATTGGCGCAGATTGCCGTTGGATCTGAAACTGCCAACGCAGAAGTTCGAAGGAGATTCACGGAAGCATCCAATGCTTGAAGTTCAACTTGGATCGACGAAACGTCTTGAGTCAAAATCTTGTTCCGTTCGGTCACTGTATCAACAGCGTTGCCGAGGTGGACAAGTTCGTCGGTAGCAGCTAACTGCCAGGCACGGGTAGACGAAAGGATTTCGTCCACTCTGTGCGAAAGGTCCATGGTCGCAGCTTGGTGTTCGAGAGACGAGTCTCGCAAGGTTCGGACTTGGGCTGAAACGTGGTCTGAAACACTTTGGAGTGAGGTTCGCAGTTCTAGATTTGCAAGATCCGCACTGGACGGAGAACTTGCGACCAAATCCGACTCGATAGTTCCTTGCATGATCGAGTTGTCATCCATTTCCATTTCACCAATGTCGTCGTAATGGATCGGATGGGAGGTGGTCCATCAAGCGTGAAGTTTGGCGGCCTCGTCAACGACGGCCTTTCATCAGTCGCGTCGATCTTCATAGGTTCATCGTGGCGAACGACAGGAGCCAATCCAAACGGTAGGTCCGGTTCAAATACCGTCAAGGGCTGATGACGTTCCACGTTAGGTAGATGAATGGACACCATGTCAAGTAGCGGAGTGGGCTCGACATGGTCCGTGATGGCCTCCACACCCATGGATTCGTCTGGACGACGTGGTCCATTAGTTGGGGGGGAGTTCGAGATCTCGGATCCACGTGAGCGACAGGAATAATCCGAATGGTAAGTCAGGATTGTAGACGGCAGTTTCGTGAACGATGTCGGAAACCGGCAGGGCCAAACAAGTCGGCGACGAAGAGTCAAACCGCGATCTCGTCTGGTCCAGTACTAAACTGGTTTCGTAGTTTTCGGGAGACGCTCGTCTCGTCACAGTCAGCTGGACTTCAGCGTTAACCTGGACGGTGCGAGTCGTCACCACATGCGTAGATTCCATCAAGACTGGTATACCATAGACGTGGGTGGACACTTGAGCCAACAGATGAATTGTTTCGGTCGCAGACTGCACGTCAGAGGTCAGTAGCGATAACATCCCAGGCGTAGCACTTGACGAGGAGTAAGAGTCGTTCGAGTCCAAGCGTGCAATCAGACTTGTAGAGGTGAGCGGGACAACAGACTGGGTCAGCGTCTCGTCGTCGTTGCCCTCGGTGAAACATGGACTCGTCTGACTTGTTTTCGTCGGAGCTAGCTTCAGCCATATCGTCTGTATATACAAGCTCTTCAGACGAGCTTCGGGGCTCCATGGATAGATCACTCTCGTCGTCGAGGAGAGAGGCCAGTTCACGACGAGCGGTAGTCGAGGTAGTATCGGCGGCATCGTCCTTCGTTTCTCCAAGTCTCGTTGCTCGGGCGAGATGGAGTGATGTTGGATTCGGTAGTTGATGTCTCGCTTCAACTGTTTCTGGACAGGGGTGGCTTGGGCAGGTTCAGGCTGACTTTTACACTCTTGATCAGAGCTGCTGCTTAGGAGGACTTCGTCTTCAGCCACGCTCACGAGGTCAAGTCTCGTATCGGTCGGGGTTGGGACGGATGATGCGACATCAGTGTCGTCTGCGATTGCTTGGACGGGAGGTGGATCGAGAGGCCTTTGCTCACCCAGGTGTGCTGGATTTCTTGGTTTGGCAGGAGAGTTACCCTGCTTCTCTACCATTTTTGTGACAGGGGTTAGACGCACAAAAGTTACGAAGGTCCGGAGGTTCGGACTTCAGGACGGGATACTCTCGGCTTGGCCAAGATGAACACAGCAAGAAAGGAGTAGATCCAATGCTAGGCAAATGTAAAAGTGAACTATCTAAAAGCTAGCTAAAGCTGACGACCTTTGGGGAAAGGTCCTGTAGAATAAAAGGCAAGACGGTCAAATTCGAAGGTAGTCGGCCCGTCGAATAATATACCTTTGCGATGGTAATACCACGATGTGGTATAGTAGTACAAGCCCATGCTCCAGCTCCGTCACACGTGTACTACGTAGTACTGGTAGATGACAACAGCGTAGCCTAAACTCACACCTGATCCTCAGTCCCACTGTACGGATTAGGGATTAATGTAATGTATTCATTTAATTCAATCACACAAATCAGTGATTGTAAATAGTGCCGATTTGGGCGAGTGGTTTCAGTAATCGGATGAAACTGGGAGGTTGAGGGTTCGAGTGCCACGTTTAACTTTGCTTTTTCCCCAACAGTTTTTTCCAACAACGACCAAGCCTTACAGTAGCGAGCACCCCCCACAAAATTGCGCGCAACGCAGCGTAGCGGAGGTCGTGTCTATAATTTTGTGCGAGTTAAAGCCGCTTGATGACAATGACCTTGGTGGGAGTGGCCTTATGGGGTGCAAAGTAAGACTAGTCGCCATCACTAGGCAAGTCTGACTAGGGGTGTCGCGATCTTTGTTTGATTGTACTCGTATTCTAGGTCAGTTTGGCGGCGACATGCGACGCACGTGGGATGGTCGGCCTTGAGAGGTAATAGTTGTAGTAAGACTTAGCGTATTCCTAGTACCGTTCAGTGTTAATTAGTGTTGGAGTGGATTGATGCATGCAATCGTATTGTGGACGTAGTAGTGGTATCATATCATGATGTTTATGCTTTGTTATAGATAAGGCGACCGTCACATATGTAAATTTCATTCCTTTCCCTGATTTTCAAAGATGCACTATTACACTATTACAGTATGTAGTGGTTGAGGTAAGCGAGGTATGGTGCAGTGTACTAAGCAGTATTTGTGAAAGTATTGCATCGTATTTACTCTGATGTTTCGCAGCGTCCAAAGACTGCTATTTTGAAGTTATCGAGCACGAAAAACTGTGCGGATGTAAGCACTCTTAGTGTGCTACTGTGAGCACAGATCGCATTTCTTGTTGGGACTGCATGGCACTTCTGTAGTGCGGTGAAATACGTTGGCTTGTAACTTCGATATGAATGCATTGACATCCTCCCAGATGGCCGTTTCATGGCTGCTTCTCGTTTTCACCGTCTTTTTAATACTCGCCAAACGTCCTTTGTTAATGTTGGTCATGTAATGCTTCGTGTACAACATGAGATTGCCCTTGGCCATGTAGCCAGAGCTCCCCAGGGTGGAGAACAGTTGAGATCTTGTCAAGTTGTGGGAAATTATCGATGCAGTAGCCACTACAATATTGAGATTAGCTAGGCATTGTAGAATGTGTACACCTCGAGCAATTTTTGTGATTAGAGTAGTGTAAACGGTCAACGAGAAACCAAATGTTGCGGAAAATCCAAGGCTCACGAAGCATGCAGTAGTTTTGGATGTTGCATGCGTTGTCGATGATAATATATCGCTTGCCATCATGTCGCTTTAGCCGCTGCGCCAAAATCGAAAACGGGTGGAAGGGACTCTCAAAATCGTACATCAAGGTGAAGCCCAGGCAAATTGAATGCGGACAGACGAAGTGAAAGATGCCTGTGCAATTGATTAAGTTTCCTTAATGATGTTATAACCACTTGGATACTGTACCTGGAAGCTTGTACTTCGAGCCAGGTGCCAGTTTGGTGCAGATCTTATCTCGCAGTTTTCGAGAGTACTGGCGCAGCGGTCGTACAAATGGAGCGCCAGGAAAGCACGACGACAAGTCGTCGTCACCAACTCTAGGTTCCGCAAATGGCACGTTATTGGCCTCCGGGGGGGCACGTAAGTTGGCTAGTAGATCGACCCATAGCCAAACCCATTTGCGAAATGTCTTCTCATCGGCACCTGATATGCAACGACGGACACCTTCGGAAACGTATACCTTCAAAAACATGAAGCACCAGAGAAGGTGCTTCGGACGCGATGTTGACAGTAAAGGTCGAGTAAATTCGTCAACGACCGTGCACGCTTGTTGACCCGGGCGAGATGCCAAAGACAGCGGGATACCGACGAAGGGCCGTCAGAGTCATGGGTGAGGCTTGGTCCAGCATTGCACAGCCAATAACCAAAACGTAGACGCCATTGTGTCAACCATTATAGCAATTGAATTATGTGACAAACATCGCGCGGCAAATATATGGGCCTTATCCGGATTATGTTTTTGGTGCTAGTATGTACTTGCCCTGCCATGAATCATATTTGTGCTTCCTTGCAATACAAACTTGAAGTGTATATGACCTACCAGTATATACTAAATGCTCCAAAATTTGAAGTCAAATTGTGGATCTTGCCTGAATCCCCTGAATCTGTTTGGAACTACGGCAAAATCTTGCAAGTTAAGGCCAATTGGATGGTGCCCTTTGACTATAGGATTACTAATATTGACTATATCTGAGATCCAGGTACACCTTTTGACGGTATGTGCAGAAGAGCGAGATCCAAGGGGTTGAAAATTCTACTAGTACTTAGTATTGCTAGACTTATCCGGGTCTCGAAACCGTCAACCAAAACAACCGTCGTTCGCGCGCATTTCATTTCAAAATCGACAGGAACGAGATGAAACGAGCGTCGAAGCGAAAGTTGCCGGTACCACGGTTCATATGGACAACTGCCCCGTCATGCGCGGCAGAAAAGTTGATGGACAGCTTGATCCAAACTTGCGCAATTGAAGCATCGTCAAAACCCCGTGATGTATACGGCTAACATGCCCTCTTTCGGGAGTACAACTTCAATACGTTTCGAGCACGCTTGAGAAAGTCCATGTTACGCCATGGCGCTATTTGTACGACGCATACGTATATATACAATTGATATTCTCACTATAATTTTAACACTCCATTTCAATAGTACAACGGCCATCGATTTTCAATGGATCGACTCATATCCCACCATGCGACTACGACGAAGTAACTGAAGTCACACGAAAACGTTGTTTGAACGAGGGAACTCACTGTCAGTTTTCGAACTATCCGTGCATGACGGTTCAGTATCGTCGCTATCCCTCACGGGAGGTTTACGTCCGTGTTCTCCTGGCGGAACCCCGCAATACCAATCACATTGAAGTCGATGTTGCGACGCGACGACAAACGCTCATCGGAGATGTCATTTTCGTGGCGGACAGATTTGTGGGATGTTGACGTGGTATATGGTGACGTCAAGGCGGCTCATGAAGCAACGTAAGATTTGTTGTCGATGATCAATGCTGTCGAATCACTATGAGCAACTAATCGACAACTGCGACGAACGAGGTTCAGCATACCTTTGTCGTGTGAAGTTTATCCTGAAACGTTGTGTGTGTCCAAGACATTCACTCAATCGGCCATGATTATGGAGGCGAAAGTTGCTAGCATCGAGATCCCCAAAGAAGAAAACGATCTGGAGCCTTTAGGTTTTGAATAGAATTGATTTTGCATTCTTATTTATCACTTCATTTTTATTAATGTTTAAACTTGTACCCATTCATTTCACCTCACGTAAATGACGAAACTCGATTTCCACGTCAAAGCGCTTACACATTAAATCGAAGTATTCAGTATTTCCCTCAACTCCCTGCTCAACGTCTCGACGAACTCAACGAGTTCACCTACGATCGATCCACATCCTAGCGCATGATAGCTCCTGCGCTGCCAGGGTATTTAGGGCTGGTCAGGACGATTTAGCTGCGCCTTCATAGCAAAGTTGGAGTTACCCGGCGTACAAGGATGTGCAGTTTGTCACGGAGTCCACGCGTGTCCTGTCGCAGCGACGTGTCGAGCCACCGAGCATAATTTTATTCTTCAAATGTAGACTTGGTAATCGGTAAGCTGTTATTAATATACTTTTTTCTTACAAACAACAAGTATAGATTTAATATTTATTCTATTTGTTCGCATCGTATGTTCCTGAAATTAAGCGGAATAGATCAGAAACTCCGTCATTCCGGAAATATGCTTGTCTTTGATTCGAAATATAGTCACATGCTTTGAACAAAGTCTTCAACGAAGTGACATCGTTTCTCCTCAGTAAAATACATATTTCCTGTATATCTGCCTCCAACGGTGAAAATGGCATTTTATTGTAAGTCCTGGCGTTTTTGACTTAGTGACCTAATACTGGTATGTCTGTTTTTCACAGCTAGCCAACAATACACCCTAGCAACTGTTGCAGTCAAATGTCAAAACTGTTTACTCGTCAGCTCCGTCATGACACGAGGTGGTTACAAACTGCGTAGATATAATTAAGATATACTTCGGAGTACAATGTAAATAAACTCACGGCGCAGTAGCATACCAATGACCAGTCGAGAACCTGTCAGGTCATCGATTGTCACATGTGTATGGATAAGAAATAATGACCTCTGAATATCCCGAGGCTACAGAATGTAACGTTAGTGGACCCAAACAAGCCTTCCAAGGTCATTACGCCCACCTATCTGCCTGAGAATTCCTTGCAAATCCCTACCGCACCATCACGAACCATTTCCAGAGCGTTTTGGCAGTCTACAATCCCTTTCCTTATTTTTCATTTTGCCATGAAGTTCACCCTCCTCAGTACCATTGCCCTATTTGCGTCGGCAACCACCGCCCAAACCAACAACACCTTCACGGGCATCGACGGCCGCGCTCGAACGTTGAAGGAGGAGGCTGCCCTCCAAGACGATGCCAAAATCAACCGCGCTTGCAACCAGGAAAACGCCAACTACATCCCGTCCCTTAAAGCCGGAGAGTACTCGACTAGTGCGTCCCACAACTGCTTCCGTACTGTCGCCCAAATCTACGAGTTTACCGATGCCTTGGTCGCCCAAAACCCGAAATTTCTGAGCAAGTTTGTCATCTCCAAGACGTACAGGGGGGCCACGATTTACGGGTACAAGTTGACCAAAGGCCACTCGCAGTCGCTGTATTTTCAAGCCCTTCAACACCCCCGCGAATGGATCTCGGGGTCGTCGATTCTGTTTTCGTTCGCGTCGATTCTGGATGATATTGCCAACAATAGACCCACGGCCGCCGACGAGTACGACTTGTACTTTGTACCGGTCGTGAACATTGACGGCTATGAGGTCTCGTGGGAGGAGCACTATCGGGCCCAGCGCAAGAGTTTCAACCAAGTCGACTTGAACCGGAACTGGCCGACTCCCTTCGAACACCCCAACCCCCCCGCCATCTCGGCCGCCGATTACCCCGGTCCGTCTGCGTTCAGTGAGCCTGAAACTGCGGGCATCAATGAATGGCTCATATCCAAACGCAGTGAAATTCAAGGGTTCATTCACATTCACGCATACGGGGGGTACATCTTGTACCCATATGGGGACACCAAGGAGCCCATCGGCGGGGGGTTTGACGAGAAGTTCGATGTCCTCGGTCGTAGATTGCAAAGCGTCATGGGGGCATACACCCCTGGACCGGTGGCCAAAACATTTTACTTCGCGTATGGAGTTTTCTCAGATTACGCCTTCCTCGAGTTCAAAAAGCCCGCCGTGACAATTGAAGTGGTGGGCAATGATTTTGTTGCGGAAGCGTCGACGATCCCCACACGCGGCCTCGAAGTGTACAAAGGCATCAACCAGTTTGCCAAAGAGACCACCATATTCAACGGTGGACCGATCACGGAGCCAGTGCCTATTACGACTGCCGCCCCTGATGGCTGCAACACATGCGATTGGTGTTTCATCCCTGGGTTGAACTCCTGCTTTAGTGAATTTACCAAGAACGAATGTGTCGTTCAGAACGCCGAATACGGGGCTTTATGGTGTGTGGAGATCAGGACCAAGAAATAATACTACAATATTAGCATCCATTTGAAATATGGTATGTTGTTAATAGAATCGTTGGATTCGGATTTATATATTAGAGATCCGAGTGAATCACTCACGCAGAAATCGCGGTACAAATAAATTTAAGAGTCACCTTCTCGGACGTCGCCGTTTTTGGCCACGCATTAAAGGAAATGTCGAAACAAAACGAACACAATCGGAGGTTTACGCACTAATATTATTACGTTAGAAAGCTGAAACAAATGTTTTGAAGTATTGACAGTGGGTGGGGACTTGGGAGTTTTATGCCAACGTTCATGTGATTGTTTGGGCGTATCATGTGCCCCTATACAAGATAGGATAGCTTAAAGTCTCCAATCCACAGATCAGATGCACTGTATAAAATAATTTAGGTACTAATGAATGTTGGTGTACCACACTCCTTCCCCCGGACAAATGGTCACTTCGTGGTTGAATGAAGTCAGGCCAGACTCTTGAAAAGTTATGTTTTTGTCGACGATTCATAGTAAATCGAATCTGTGCATTGGAGACTTTTTAAGCCCTCCTCTACAAGAAATGCGTGACGTCCAGATTACTGTTTTCTTTTGAAACTACATGGTAGTATGTATAGGATACTATAGTCCAATTGCCTGTAATACTTATAAACCTCTATAAATTGGAAATCAAAACTCCGAATCTCGGGATATAGGAGGCTTGTTATCTCAAAAGTGTCTCAAGTTAAACATACTCCCTCCGTGTCACTCACTATAAGTGCGCGACCTAGAGGAGGGTTGACATGACTCTCATTATATTCTCAAGACATTTTTGACAATCGAAATCGCTCTCTTGGGTTCAAAATTAGTCGCTCTGATTGGACCATTCGAAAGCCAGTGCCAAAACCCCGATTTGATCCAACTTCGAGCGGGAAATTCAACGAAATGAAGTCGCTGTGATGATTTCAATACAGCAATAAAATACTTTATATAAAACAAACACTCATAATGATAAACATTCAGGAATCACCATCAAAAAGCGCATCCTGACGAACAGCGAGCGCGAGGCCATACTCCGTGAAGTGCTGCTGCACAGCAACAGCAGCTACTTGGTCAGGCTTCCCAATGGCCTCAGTCAAACACTCGCAGCCAAGTACAACTAACTGCCACCCGGCCACGGTAAGACACGTGATTGGTCCTGAGACATGCATTTTTGATTGTTATGATTGGACAGTTGTATCTTACACCTTTATAAATGCATGATCGTTATAGGATCTTGGAGTGTTTTGTATTTTTATACGAGGAGGTATACTATATTTTTCTGAGTCCCGCACTTACAGTGACACGGAGGGTAGGAGAATACGGATACTAGTGGCTCGGCGGCATGAGCCTCACAAGGTTATACCTCTCATATTTTATATATCAATGTCGAGGATTGATTTATCCGGATAAAGTTTTAATTGGTTTCGTCACTTTGCATTTTGGTGTGTCGTGTCCACCACCGAACCACATCCTGCCCATACCATCGCCCGCATCCACCCACCTCTTGCCCACGTCAAACAATTCAAGCCCAGACTGCAGTCCCACGTCCCAACCACTTCTTGCCTGCGCCACCGACCTATGCCTCCACGACATCCCTTCCCTCTTCTAGCCACATCGCACCTACGTCACCAACTTCCTGTCCACGTCGCCATCCCAATTCCACCTAAGTCCCGCTGAAGTCAGTCAACTTGCTGCTAGCATCAACCCACTCCCTGCGCATGCTAACCAACGACCCGCGTACCACGATCGCATCCTTGTCTACGTCAACTATGTTTCACCTGAGTTTTTACCTGTGTATGTGCTGTAATGAAAATGATCTCCACGTATTGTGTATATTGTGGACATGTGGTTAGAAGTAGTTAATGTGGTTTGAAAGCCGTCTGGGTTGAATTGTACCTTTGTAGTAACGTCTACACTTGTGTACACCATGTATACTGACTGCATGTCTACCTCGAGTCAACTCATCCCCCGCCGTATGCATGCCCCACGTCTGTCGCTTGGATACCCCATGTCCGTCGATGAATACCTTCACGTCCCGCAGTATGAACCATGTGTACTGGCTCCATGTCCACGATCTGTCTGCTCACCACTACCCAGAGTGCTTGCACCTGTTCCATGTCTGTCGCACTTCTGGTCCGTGTCCTCGAATTGTCTGCCCCGTGTCCGGTCCATGCCATGTCTGTCTCTTTTGTACTGCATGCCCAAGTTGCCAACCCCGTGTTTAGCACATGCCCACTTTGTGCAAATGCTATGTCCACCATGTGCCGGTCCATGCTCACCTTGGCCCGCTCACCTTGTGTTCATCCACGTGCTCACCAACCAACCCGTGTCATTCATTCGCGTCACCCATCGGTGGCAAATTGTATTCACGTCTATCGTTTGTCCTGTACACTTTGTGCGTTTCTTCGGTTTGCATACTAGCGTAGGATTGCTGTTCATGGTAAGCTTGACGATGACGCTCATGGAGAGTAGTAGTGGAGACACTGGAGGATGCTGGTTTAAGTCTAGTCATTGTCATTATCATTTATCTACATATTCCGTGTTGTTACGATACAAGCTTGATTTTGAATTGGTGTTGCGTCTGTGACTTACCCGGTTGTGACAAGGTTGTTGAAGTGGTGTATTTTGTCGTCCAGCAAGCGTGCTTGATGGACCTTGCGAAGGACGCGTAATACCGAGCCGCTTGACTTCACCTTTGGCGCCGACAGTATGGTGAATTCCAACATGCGCTGTTCAGCTATGGCGCCGCATTGTAGGATATCGTCGTGGAATCTTGGAGTCCCAGCGTTGAGTTTGAGGTAGTCCGCACAGAAGACCAACAGATCTACGACCGCAAATCCAACGAGGTAATATCTCCGTCACAACGAAATTAGATTCACACACAACAGATATGGCGCTAGCACATGTACTTCGTCGTTGTCTCAATAAAACTGGTCGCTTTCACACAAAAACCAGCCTTCTTCACACAAAACAAGTCGTTATCACAACAATCTCGTCGATATCACAACAATTCCGTCGTTAACACACAGCATTGGGCGCTGTCACAAACGCGACACGTTTAAGAGCATCTGCACCGGTACCAGCAGTTCTCAGATCCCAATAATTTTTGTCAAGAGGGACGATAAAGAGGTAGCACTGGGGAGGAATGACGACGAAGAACACTTGTGTGGTCGAGGGCAAAACCAAAGATGATTATTAACGGACTGTTTAGCTGACCTATGATTGGGCATAAACAGTCCGGTTTCTACAGAAAGAGAACACCGGAATTTGGAACAATGGTCGTGGTGGGTACAGGGGCAAACGCTCGGTAATAAGTAACTCGGCAGAATGGACTTCAGCGAAGTCTAAATCGCCGGCATCCACTGGAGATGGGAAGTGGTCGGGAAGCTCGCCCGGTGCGTCAGTGATGGGAGCGAGGGTAGTAGCCGCAATAAGCGGAGGTCATGGGGCGGAGATGCAAAAAAATCACAAAGTGGGGCAGAGCCCGGTTGGAACACCTTTGGCAAAACCGATGGTGGGTTGGGACGTTGGAGGACCCGGTTAAGAGTGGAGGGAGGCACAAAGTGATGGGATAAGATGTGGGTGTTGGCAAAGCCATTGAGGCGATTGCCTTGATGGATAAATGGACGAGCGGCTGTACGAGCAGCAGAGCCAGCCTGGTCATAAAGACCTCCGCGATGAGTGCGGCCGTAGCCTAGGTCGCGTTGTCGATCACGGATGCGGTCGCGGTCGCGATTTTTATCACGGCTGTTGCCACGATTGTTGTTCCACCCGCCATTTCCAGGACCACTAGAGGAACTAGGTCCCCATCCATGGTGGCTATTAGAGCCCTGGTTGCCACTAGGGCCATCGCGATCTTCGCGGTCATCACGAGGACGTTGAATAGGACGCGACGGAGCGACATAATATCGTTTGCGCTTCTTCTGGGAGGCAGAGCCATGTTTGTCAAAGACGGCGCGGTCAAAACCAGGACGCATAGAGTTGCGGGCATAGTCCGACTTTAGGGTAGGGCACGCAGGAAGCGTGTGATTGGTAACGCCGCAGTAGAAGCAGGACTTGCCGGGGTGATTGATACAATCACGGTGAACATAGATGGGGATAGTAAAGGCGTTCA